ATTTCAAATAGTTAATTTGATACTAATATCGATATATTTTTGTCAAATTTTTATGATATCTTCAAACATATATTTTATTCAAAAATAAAAACATCACCGCTTTCTAAAAATCACATAAAGCCATATTATAACATCGACTAAGATAAAGAATAAAATGAAATATTAAAATCATGATGTATCTCGCTGCATTGCGCGAGTACGCTTCTAGTATATATATATAGGGTTGGGTTCACGTGAGACCAAGAGTTTTTCGTGAGACCCGTAAGACCAATTTATGTTCATTGATCAACTTTATAAGTTAATGATCTAATGGTCTAAATTGCACGGTGGCAATTTTGTAATTATTGAGAAGTCTCGTGACGTTTATGAATGTTCAGATCTGACGATTGTAAATCTAATCCAAAGGTTGAGAATTGGTCTTACGGGTCTCACGAAAAATCATTGGTCTCACGTGATCTCAAGTCTATATATATATATATATATATATATATATATACATATATATATATATACACACACATATATATATATATATATAAGCAATCAAATGAAAACCACTCCAATTTGTAAAAACCGTAAAAACTACTCTCATCCGTCGTTAATCTTATGAAATTTTTTCATGAAATTGTTGATCTTGTGAAATTGTTTCATATAATACTTTTTTTGATGAAGTTGTTTCATATGTGGTTATGAAATTGTTTCATATACTACTTAATGAAATTTTAATGAAATTGTTTCATTTATTTCTTTAAAATTAAATTAATGAAGATGATAATATCCATGATTAACACCCTCCACAATAAAAATGGTTAATCAACCTCTCATAATTACAAAAAAATGAACACAATGAAAAATTATGATTGGTTGAATAAGGTTTTCACGGTTTTTACAAATTGAATGGTTTTTTATTTGAACGCTCCCTATATATATATATATATATAAAGCATTTGTTTATTTGATTATTTTGTTTTTTAATTAGTTTAGTTATCAACTTTATATTTAGATTAGAATTATTATTAGTTTACTTTTATTAATCTATATTATATTATAAATCATTTGATAAAAACTATTAAAATCATTTTTTATGCATAAAGAACTGTATATTGATGCATATTACTTAAAGTTCAAGATTACAAGTAAATTATGCATTAAGTACAACTTATTAAAATTCTATGTTTGAATTCATGTAACTAACTACGGATAAACATCTAATTTTAACATTTTGATCTGGTACTAGCTGTAGCTTTTCCGCCAGACAAAATGTCTGGAGTTCTAACATTTTGATTTTTATCAGATCCATTATTACTATAACCTTCCTCAATAATTTTTATTTTCAGAAAAAGTGTGAGTCATATTAAATTTTAGAACAAATCACACTTTGGATATCTCGTTACTGTTAACCCTAATTACGATTGATTTAGAGATAAAAATTCTTACTTTTTTTCACCATAACTTTTATGGAATTGAGTTGATGGTTTATAAGAGATTGAATAGGTTCAATTTCGAACCATTCAACACCCCCAGGTAAAAAGATTGATACTCCCCACCGCTGTTCACCACGGCTTCGGTCGTCGGCTCTCCTGTCATCAGGTCACCAACTTCCTTGACCTTCCGGCACTGGCAGCCATCATCCCCCAAGGCAAAGGGTCAAGAAACTCAACGACACTATTCTTGAACAACGAATAGTAAGAAATCTCAAGAGTTTATTCAATTGGGACAATTTTTCCAATCAGTATAATCTCTTTCAGAATATTTATAGCATCTTATCTTTTTAGATGCCTATAAATATAAATATGGTAGTATGGTCCAACCTCACAAGTCACTTCACACCATAATTTGAGCCTAAGGGACTAATTGTAGTGGCAACATATACAATGGCTTCTTCTACTCCAAAACCAAGGTATAGTTGCCCATCTTCTCTATTATTTTCACAAAATGAATATTATTCTATGATTTTTTTTTTCTTATAAATATACTCTTAAGAACATACTTGGGGTATTAATTATATGACCAATTTATTTGGTCATGTAAAAAGGTGGTCTCAATGGTAGGTGAATATCGATTAAACGAAAGATTGAATTTTCTCATTTTAACAAAAAAACACACGGGTTATGTGATGATACTGAATCATTGCTATCAGGGTGGTTTTCGACTTTGTACATTCAATCTTTATAGCTTGATGAGTTGAGAGTATGTCTTCTATTTTTGTGTTTTCTTGGTACTAACGTGAACGGAATTTGTTTTAGGCTCGAAAATAAGGTAGCTATTGTTACTGGTGGAGCTCAAAGCATTGGAGAATGTATTGTGAGGTCGTTTGTAAAGCATGGAGCAAAAGTAGTTATTCTTGATGTCAAAGATGACTTGGGAGAATTGGTTTGTCAAGACTTAGGTGTTGAGTTCGTATCTTTCGTTCACTGTGACGTAACCGTTGAATCAGACGTAGAGAACGCCATAAACGCCACAATCGCTAAGCATGGGAAACTAGACATCATGGTTAACAATGCAGGGATTCTCGATGAGCCAAAGCTTAGCATTTTAGACAACGACAAGGCAACCTTCGAGCGTGTTATCAGTGTCAATTTAATTGGAGTGTTCTTGGGAACCAAACATGCAGCACGAGTGATGATCCCAAAATGCAGTGGGAGCATCATCACAACTGCAAGTATATGTTCTATCATAGGTGGGTTTGCATCTCATGCGTACACAAGCTCAAAGCATGGTGTGGTTGGACTAGCAAAGAACGTTGCAGCTGAACTAGGGAAGTATCAAATTCGTGTCAATTGTATATCGCCCTATGTTATACCAACTCCGTTGTCAATGAAGTTCTTCAACATGGATGAAAACTCGAGTGTATACTCAAACCTTAAGGGAAAGACACTTGGACCACAAGATATTGCAAATGCAGCTCTTTTTCTAGCAAGTGATGAGTCTGAGTATGTGAGCGGACATAACTTGGTCGTAGATGGTGGTTACACCGTTCTCAATCCTGCATTTGGCTTGTTTTCCTTGGACAAGATAGAATCCTAGATCACTACATCATTCTTAGGTTTTGTGTGTGTGCTTTCATTCCTTTTATGTTGTTGTTTTCTTGGTTGAATAAGATTGTATGCTCATACCAAATCCTCATAATAACCAAGTGAGAGCACTTTATAAGACCAAAACATCTTATGTAACTTATACTGTTATGTATTTAAGATTCTATTTTATTCCCAATTTCTTATCCACACTATTGAGCATTACTCCTTTTTTTTTATTAACCTGGATATCCAAACCGTTGTGCGAGCCAACTAATCCCAGGGCAACCACCTGCTTTGCAGATAGCCTGGAGTCACCGCATTTGAACCTCCGTGGCCACAAGGGGATTTTTATTCCTCCTTGGATTTGAACCTGGGACCTCCACGTACTTTTGATCTTTGGAGCCAAGCTCAAAACAATCAGGTACCATCCTTGTGATTTTGAGGATTACTCCTTTTGAACTATACTCCTAGTAGCCTACTATCAAATGGAAGATTGAAACTACATCTTTAACCTAAATAAAAAATCTAAAATTATGAACCAAATAAACAAATATAAATCTCTAAGTAAAAAACCCAAAACTACAAAAACGTGACGTAAAATGACTCATATAAAATGTTAAAAGTTTGAGTAGAAATAGAGTAAAATTTGCATTACAGTTCGTTCAATGGACCTTATAAGGAACAGAGAAACTACTTTGATATGTGTGTGCGATGTGGCTTTGGAAGTGTATCGCATATTGAGTCGGTGTTCTTTTTCTTGTTCTACAGTGGCCAAGATTTTATGTATGGGACCGGAGAAGATAATTGAAGAGTTTCTATCTTTTGTGATCTTTAAACAATCTTGATTTTTTTTAGGCTAATTTAAGTTGGAAATTTGCTTTGCAAATGGAGCTTAAGAATGTTGGATCGAACTTGATCCCGTAAAGGAACCAAGTGTAAATGAAACTCAATTAATATAGTTTAAGGGGTTGTTTGTTTACCTCTTAATAGTTTCATTAAGAGACAATCTCTGAATCGTTAAGAGATGAATCTTGTTTGGCAAAAAAAAAAGTATGTCTCTTAATGGTTCTAAAACCATCTGAATGATTTTGTAACCTAGAACTCCCTTAACCATTAAAATCCCTTATTTCATTGTACACAATTACCAAACAATTATATTTCATTTTGCATTATATCATGAGAGTCTCTTAATCATTCTGACCACTTAATTATTCTGCACTAGACCATTCAGCAATTGCCAAACAGTCCCTAACACTTGGGCAATATATGAATGATTCTAAGGTTTGGGTTTTTGGAATTCTTGGTGACACATGGATTTCAACAAATGGAGAAAGAAATGAAAAATAAACAAACCCATAGCCTTTTTGGGTTCTCAAGAATAACCAAAGAGTCTCATTTTATAATTTTAATAATTTAATTTTAAAATATACTAGTATAATTTCAATTAATGGTAAAAAAAATATTAATTATAAAATATAAATGGGTTGGACGTGCTTGTCCATATTTATTTTTATATTGTCCATGTCCGCCTGTTAATTTTAACAAACAAACCCGGACCTGTCCATTTTCTCGATAATGATTATCCAAACCCGTATTTCTAACGGAACGGATGGGCATGGTTTAACGAGTCGTCCCGCCCATAAACAACTCTATATCTTATATACAAAATGAAAAAATTTGGCGATAAATTTTTTGATTTAAATATGTGTATCTTTATCATGTTTTAAATGGCTTTGATTATATCGTTAATTATATATAAAATTACGTCATGATCATATTAATTTTGAATTAATATATTCCAAATTATTATCTCTAATGACCCACATTTGCAAAAGAAAATCTTAATTATTATATTTTATGATATCTAAATAAGATATAATAATTGTAAAAAGATTTCCATAAAAAATCATTAACCATCAATCATTACAAAATTTTACTCAAAATCAAATAAAAATTATATATTTTTAGATAAAAATATGGGCCACAAAATGAACATGTTAGATAATGTCTCAAATCAGTAATTTCTTAATATGGGTCAATATAAGATCCCACGGAGAATGGGATTCGATGTCTTATGACGTGTTTTAAAACCGTGAGTATAGATGTGAATAATACAAACAATATCTGATACGTTTGATTTGGAATGTTATGAATGATATCAGGGCCAGGAATCGTGTTGGTGTGCCAGTGATCGAGGACGTTGGGCTTCCTGAGGGTGGTGGACTGTGAGATTCTACATCGGTTGGGAAAGGAACCGATGTTGTCTTATAAAGAACTGGATATATCCTCAATCAAATGCGTTTTGAAACCATGAATTCACGTTGGACCATGGACGGACCCAGATGGTGCCATAGGTGGCACGTGCTATTGTTTATTTCCTCCGTCGTAGTGTAAATTTTTTGTGTGTCACCATATATATTTTGAAACTACAATGAGAACATAGATTTCCCTTGGTAAGTTGGTTTGCAAGGTTTTATATCCACCCCAAACTGGAGTTCAAATCTCTTTAATGTCATTTTCTTAGTTTTTAGCTTTTAGTTTCAGATTTATCATATTTCTGGAGAAAAAAAATTGCAATAAAAAACTTGAACGCATGACCTCACATATTAAAAACAATGAACTAACCACAAGGCTAATGACGATTTTATGAAAAAAAATCTTTATACTTGTTTCTTATAGTCAAATGGTGTTACTGGTTTCATCCCTATATTAGACAAATCAGACAAAATCTGTTACGTTCAACGTAGGATGTTACAGTCAAGTAGAATTGGGTTGATCCACCATCATTTTTTTTCAAATAATTAATGCGCTAAACATGATTGTAACAATAATCATAATAATAATAATCATATTTTTTTTTATAAAACAGTTTAAAAAGTCATAAATATTTGAATATATTATGGTCGATGTTCGACCCATTTCTTTGATATTGTTAAGTTGGTTTTTCATTTAACCTTATATGAATTAAATTGTCTATATGATTTTAATATAAATCATCATTGAGTTATTATTATAAAAAAATATTTTGAATATCATAAATGAGTAAATTACTAGAAACTATTTGTTAAGGGGCCGTTTATTAAATGCTTACCTGGTAGGTGTTTACCGGATAATTTTTCTCACCGGATGAACATGGCAAGACCCAAAAATCTTACCCGGTAAGAGTGATCATAAGGATAGAGAGTCTTACTCAGTAAGTGAGAGTAACGACTCTTACCCGGATAAATGTTTACCAAGTAAATTGTTGTTTTGATTACTACGATTTTATCCAAAAAATAAATTGTAGTGTTGACTTATAATAATAGATATTTACTAGGTAATCATTTAGGTAAACAACCCCTAAATCGAAATAAAGGGCAAAGCGATTATTACTCAACAACTCTCTATTTTATGTTTCACAAACAAATAATTTAATAAAATATTTAAATTATAAATAAAATGCTTTTTTAATCAAAACGAAAATATTAAAATCGATTTATAACACAGAGTATTTTATATGATAACTTGAAGTTATTAGTAATTGGATTAATATAACCAGTTGTTTTTTCTTCACTCCAACATCACCGGTTAGGTTTACGTTGGGGGGACAGTTGTCAATCGCACCATTGGCAACGGCCGACATGACGACGGTGAGGTTGAGCGAGGACGGTGTTTTTCATTAGATATGGGTTTATGATAAGGGCATGGATGGAAAAATATATGGCTTAATGGATACAAGATTATCATCCGGCTAACCAAGTAAGTTATCAACTGAATCATTAAGTCAAATCGAACGCCCTTGTATATATGACTTGCAGAATAAGCTATATATAGTCTATTCAACCCATTAAACCGTAACCAAACAACCCTTGAGTTCTTAAATTTTACTAATTTGACAAGTTGAAGATAAACTATTCTTTTAAATAAACTAGAAGGTACTCGTGCAATATATCGAAATATATCTTTATTTTAATGTTTCATTTTATATTTTGGGTTTATCAATGTTGTAATGCGATTTTATGTGGTTTTGAGAAAAAAAAATGTTTTTATTCTTGAATGAAATATAAATTTGAAGATATTATAAAATTTTGATCAAAATAAGCGATATTAGTATCAAATTAACTATTTAAAAGTTCTATTTTTTGTGTAATTTCTTTAATTCAATTTTTTATTATAATTTAATTGAATTTTAAAAACGAACTAATTTATTTTTGGTTTAATAAAATAATTTTTTAAGATAATAATTAAGTATTGTGTTAGAACTTAATGATTATATTAATTATATTTTAAAAAATTTATATTTAAAATGATGTTTATCATGTATTTGATTATGTTTAACTGCTGTTAGTTATATGAATTCAAACAAGAACCTTTAATAAGATTTACTCATTCACATTCTACTTGTAATTTTGAATTTAAGTAATATGTATTAATAAACAGTACCTTATGTATAAAAAATTATTTTTAAAGTTTTTATCAAATGTTTTATAATAAATATAGGTGGAGACTAATGGCACCCCTAAGTAGACTTCAATATGATTTTTTTTATGGTTTTTTGTGTTTTTTTGTCCTTTTGTTATTATTACTTTTTATTTTATTATTATTTAGAGAAAATTTTAATTAATATATATTATTCATTTTATTTTCTGTTTTTTTATTTATTTATATTATATTTTAATTAATATAAATT